GTGTGAATTAACAATTTGACAGCCATAACATGAGAGAGGTGGTTCATTTGGTACAGATTTCAGGTTACAGAGCGTGGGTAAGAGTGCCGACTATACCGCCTGGCCTTTAGGTGCAGAAGCAAACCCAGGCTGCCAGAGGGCTCCTCCTGCCTTCAGGCAATCCTCATCTGAAGTAGAAGGAGCACTGCTCTCGACTCTGTGCTTTCTGCTTGCAGCCCCACAGCAGTGTCCTATGTGATCGAGGGCAACACACTTGACTTGGTCTTAGCTTCAGTTTATCCATCTATTTAACAGGTGTAAGCAGATACAGACTTGGCTTAGACTCAGGATGGTGAAACATCTCTCATTGATCTGAATAGTTTTGGATGAGGCCTTAAGTGAAAGAAGCCTGAGTGAAAGAAGCATTTAGGAGATGCAGATTTTTTTTTCACAGCCATGAATTATGCATGAGTACATTGTGATTGTCTTGATTCTATCCTCTATTTTGAAATTATTCATCTAATTCCTTCAGAAAATTTTTGGTCTGTAGGCTGTTTGCAAGTAGTTTTGAGATTTTCTACTTAAGCAGCTGCTAACTTCCAGGTGGGGGTGGAAAAGACCCATCTTCCCCCCAGAAAGCAGAATGGACAGGTGTCAACATAAGACTGTGATCATTCCCTTCCCTTCCCTTCCCTTCCCTTCCCTTCCCTTCCCTTCCCTTCCCTTCCCTTCCCTTCCCTTCCCTTCCCTTCCCTTCCCTTCCCTTCCCTTCCCTTCCCTTCCCTTCCCTTCCCTTCCCTTCCCTTCCCTTCCCTTCCCTTCCCTTCCCTTCCCTTCCCTTCCCTTCCCTTCCCTTCCCTTCCCTTCCCTTCCCTTCCCTCTTTAATTCATTTTTTTTTAAGACTATGTTATGCTTCTGTATGTTCTTCTTATCCTTCTTAGGAACTGGATGAAGATGGACACATTGGGAAACACCACTGGGTGTAGTGCTTTCACTCAAAATTCTGCCACAGGTTAAGGTCAACAGAAAGAAGGGGAGAACATGTTAGGTTAACTAAGGTGGGTTGGCCAACATTAAATCTGCCATTCCTTGAGCTCCAAGGACTTGACCTTGAACACCAACAATCTATGTTGTATTCAGGTATCCTTGTACAAAATCTCCTCCTAAAACGGAGACAATAGTAATAAATGCCTTATAAAAGTATGTATAAAAATCAACCAACCAATGAAAAAAAAAAAATATAAACAAACAAACACAAAACTATCATAAACTTATGATAATAAGACCACAAAATCATAGCTGGGAACCTAAGCTGTGTTCCCTGCTTCTCTGACTGATAATACTTTGGATACTGAATACCAGTAGAAAGTCATTACCTTGCAAGCCCTGGACCAGGTACGTGCTGGGGAACGAGATCAATGTGAGAAATGGAGAGAACCTGCCTGGGTTTCTTGTGAGAAGCTCCTGTCCAGGAGAAGATGTAATTGTGAGGAAGGAAATGCCTTGAACAGAATCTCAAATGGAAAAACACGTGAAGTCCCTACCGGTCAGAAGGCTGGAGCAATTTGCTTGCATCAAGTTTCGGTGAGCTGCTGCAAATTGAAGAGGGATTAGAACCTCTCAGAAAAAAGTTACAAGAACACTCTGCAGTATTTTTTTTTTTCTGCAGATGAAACACCTGAAGATGTTACTACCTTCTGTGTCATGTATGCCTATTAATATACTAATTTATTGCTTCATTCTACTCTGACTGAAGTAAATATCTAAATAAATATAAAATTCAATCCTGTAATATTAGACCTTTCCATGAAATCCAAGGGCTTGACTCATTTGCATTTTGCTTTGTTTATATAATGCATGCTTATTTTAATTACTATTGCTGCACTTTAATTGTAATTCTCTGTGCAATGCCCGAGCACCTTGCTAAGTGGATAAGGGAAGCACTTTATTCCATAATAACATAATTAATCCATTATTATTCATTATTATTTTTTTTCTGGAATGGGCTGAAAAGAATCAGGACTTTGAAAAACACAATACCAACAAATTATCTGCAGCGAAAATAATTTTAACAGAATTCATACTTTCATCATCTTCACCATTGTTTTCCTCTTGATATCATCTCTCCTAAACAGAGGAGCAGCAGCATTTAATGACCTGAAGATTGGGCTAAATGCCAAGGATGCTCAAAATCAGAGATCACCCCCACCTCCCTGTCCCCTGCCCCGCTTCCAGCGTGGCCTTGAACAAGTCATTTAATCACTCTGTGACACCATTTCCCTGTTTCTGGTGGCTGCCATCCTAGCATTCACCTTCAACGGAACAGTAAGGTTTACTTCACTAATGTGCAGAGCTTTGCAAATGATATATACGAGGTACTGTGGCAGCGTAATCAAAGGGACACAATGATGGCTGGATAAAAGAGGAGGCGTTTCCTAGCTATGCGGGATTCTTGCTTACCGAGCAAAAGAAGACATTCAATTTCTTCTGATATCCTTGCAGATTCCTCTTGAATGAATACCCTCTCTTCATTGAATTTTCTTATTACGAAGGATTATGCAACCCTATTACCTCTTGAAATTTTGTAAGTAGATCCCTGCATAGTCTTTCATCACAAAAGCATTGTGCTGCATTTCCCTTTGGACATGCTCTCTGTAGAAACCTGGAAGGTCAGGGCTGGTCTTACCATTTTTGTCTGCCAGTCCCTAGACCCACACAGAAAACTGGTTTCTTTCTGATTCTCCTAGCTCATTCATTCTAAACTTACCAACCTATGGCTGTAGGTCCTTGTCTGTTTTATTTATGACAAAAAATTAAGAGTAGAAACTGGGCTAATGAGGCTGGTCAAGCAAATAAATGCTGCAAAAAAAGCAAATAAATATGTCAAGTCCATTCCACACAGTAAAATTCACGTTGCCTGATGAGCATTCAAGCACCATGACACAGGACTTCCAAGCTGTATGGCCTCATCCCTGGTCTTCCACACCAGGACACATTTTCTCGTTAGTTACTATTACCTTGAGAATACCTACCACAGCCTGTTGTACTGTATATGGATAGGCCAGCACAATGTTTATGGCCCTTATTTCGTCATTGCTTTTACCCAGGTGGGCAGAAAAGGAACCTTATGTCCAACACGAAGATAGAAATGTGCACAGAGCTAGCCCCTAATGCTGAAACAGCCTGTTCCATCCTGCAAGAGAAACAATCCCTGCCTAAAGTCTCTCCTAATGAGGACAAGGAAGCTCTCTTATCTTTGTGTGTGTGTGTGTACGTACACTAATGTACCAACAGCCATCCCATGTTCCTTCCCAGAGTGTACCCATGCCAAAAGTACATTATTTCCTCTGGTTTCCCTGGACTCCATTCCTGTGAGATAGGACTGAGCTGATGCTGCTCAGCAGTGTCTCTTGAAAGGAGGCAGCATACCAGCACAGTCTCCTAAATGATCATTTCTACGCTTACCCCAAAATATCTTAGGTGCTTTCATCTCCCCTGTGTTTCTGCGTATGCCTTTTCACGTTCCCCTACAACCATCTCTCACCTTGCTGCACAATGCCGGTTCCTGTTCAGCCAGGCCCCCCCTCACAAGACATTAATGGCACAGCAGGCAGTGAGGTGGAGAAAGGTCTCTCTTAAATTTTTCCATTAAAATCATAAGTGTGTGGGATTTGAGTGCTCTTGGAGTTCACTCCAGGGTCTTCCCCTGACACAGGGGACATACGGCAATGCTTCACGATCCCCCAAAGCCACCTCTAAGTGCTTGCAAGAGAACTGTGAATAGCAGCTCCTTTTTAGAAGGAATCTGCGAACGGTTTCTAATCCTGGTGATCCTGTTTGCATCAGTTTACATTCCCAAGGCTATCTGTGAACAGAAAGGACTGGAAATACACCTTTCCGCTCAGCTGAGGCTGAGATTCTCCTTCACATTTCTCGGTCCCTCACTTCAGGAGCTCCTCGCTGTGGTGCGGTTTTTGCTGATCTGAAAAGGCTAAATGAAAATAGTCCTTCCCCCAAAACGATCTGCTTAAGGACAGTTGCTTTTCATTCTGTGGACCCTGCACCTTTTGATGCTCGGTCAGATCTAGTGATGGGCTTGCCTAAAATCAGGCGTGACTGCTTGCTGCCCCTCCTGGACCTTCAGAGCCAACACTGATTGCTGAGGTTGCTGCTCTGTGACCAAAACTCTTCACAGATCTGCACCAGAGTCCCTGTCAATAAGTGCGCTGCCTTTACCTAGGGCTACTTAGCATGACAGAAAGCACTAGGGTTGTTTCCTCAGACCCGGGTCTGTAAGTCTGTGAACTCAGAGACGTGCACGAGGAAGGGCAAGGGAAGGCATTTCGCGAGAAATGGATATCACCTGCTCAGAAATGCAACCTGCACACCCAGGCAGAGCTCCGCACTTTGTCTGGTTTGCTTCCCAAGGAGCTGAAGGAAACCAGGGCTTCGGGGGACCAAGGCTTTGGGGAACCAAGGCTTTGGGGGACCAAGGATTTGGAGAAGCAGCAAGCTCATGGGGGTGCCGCTGGTTCCCCCATTTTCCTGGGGAGCTCCTTGCCCGCTGCGTGCTACCACCACCGAAGCAGCACCGCTACCAGCAGGGCAGCCACCACCACCTCGAATTACACCAGCTTTGCTTAAGCGCAACCAACAGAAAAAAAAACAATAAAAATTAAAAAAAATAATAAAAATAAAAGAAACCACTAAGTCATGACGGGAATTTATACACATAACATAGAAAGGCACCACGCAGGAACGCCACTGAGGGAGGGAGGCAGACCGGGACGGGGACAGGGACAGGGACAGTAGACAGGGTCTCCCCTCAGGCTCCCCTCCCTCAGCCGCCCCCTCAGCTCCCGCCCGCCCCCCCTCCATCCCCCGGCGCCTGCGCGGCGGGGCCATGGGCGGGCTCTCGGCGCCCCCCCCCAATAGGAACGGCTTCGCCCCCCCCCCCTCCTCTCCCCCCGGCGGCCGCTGGCCGGGCGCGTGCCCAGGCGCGCGCGCGCTCGCTCCGGCGGGTGCGCGCCCGCCTGCCCGGCCGCGGGAGCGCGCCCGCCGCCCGCCCTCCCCGCAGCCAGGCGCCGCTCGGGCCGGCGGGCGGAGAGGGGCCCGCGGGGTCCGCGCAGGGAGAAGAGAGAGAGAAGGAGAAGGAGAGGGGAGAGGGGGGTGGGGGGGTGCGCGGTGTGTGGGGGGGTGGGCATGGAGAGCCTGCTGGAGAACCCGGTGCGCGCCGTGCTGTACCTGAAGGAGCTGACCGCCATCGTGCAGAACCAGCAGAGCCTCATCCACACCCAGCGGCAGCGCATCGACGAGCTGGAGCGGCGGCTGGACGAGCTCAGCACCGAGAACCGCAGCCTGCGCGGGCAGCGGCCGCCCCACAGCGAGCCCCCTGCCGCCACCGGGGCCGGGGGCCCCCCGGGACCGCCGCCCGAGCACCCCCCGGGGCCGCCGCCGCCTTCGCCGCCTTCCCCTCCGCCGCCTCCGCCGGGCCAGCCCGAGCCCCCCCAGCCCCAGCAGCACCCCCAGCCCCAGCCCCAGCAGCAGGCGGCGGGGGGCGGCCCCGGGGGCGGCCGGGCGGGCGGGCAGCAGCCCCCCGCCGAGAAGGAGGGCAGGGAGAAGGGGTGCTGCAGCGCCCTGCTCCACCACAAGACCCCGCCGCCCATCGGCAAGGGCATCCTCGGCCGGAGACCGGAGTGAGTGAGGGCTGAGGGGTGGGTGGGGGTCCGTGCTCCTTCCCCCTCCTCCGTGCTGCCTCCCCCCTGACCGCTTTTCTTCCAGGGGCAGGTGTCCGTGGCCAGCCCGAGCCCAGCATCGCGCCCTCCTCGCCTGGCACCGATCCCCGAGTCGTGGAGCAAACGCCAGCCCGGCGTGGCAGCGGGGAGCCTTTCCTCCTGCTCGCCCCAAGTCACCGGCATCCGCCACAAAGCCCCCCGACCCGCCGGGGAACATCCCCGCTCCTCCCCGGGAGCTGGGATCCTCCTCTCCCCGCTGCGAGGGGACGCCTGGGGGTGCGCATGGTGCCGGGGGGTTGGCGGGGGTACAGCTGCCCTGCGTATGTGTGACATTTAGGATGCGTATCGCTCTGGGTTGCCTTTTTTTTGGGTTGTTTTTTCTCTTTTTGGTGAGTGGTACCCGATGCTGAACCAGCTCATGAAAAGGACCAAGTGTTTTTTTAGCAGCGCAGAAAGCGTGACTGCTAGTGCTGGATGCTGATAGCGGTCTGTGTGCGTGCGTGTGTAGTAAACAAGGGTGAGCATTCCTGCACTCGAGCTGGTGGAAGAGGCGACTCCTGGAGTCTCATTTGCTTGGGTTTTGTGTCCCGTGTATGCTGTCAGTTCGCCAGCTGGTCATGACAACTGCACAGGGCATGGTGCTGGCCTTGGTTTAGGCGTTTGGGAGGCAGGGGGATGTTGTCTGCTCGAAGCCGGTTAGGGAACTCAGGGAGGGAAGGTGCTCAGCTTCTGATGTGGCTTCTCTCACGTGAGGAATTTGCTAGTGTAAGTAGTACAACTAGAGCTGCTCTTCCTTTCCGGAATGGGCCCTATTGCTTTGCTGATAGTGATGCCAAAATAAAGTACGCAGGACAGTGGATGGCCCCAGACGTCTTCCTTATCTCTTTTGGCACTTTTGAAACAAAGGGCCCCTTCTCAGTCGTCTTGGCTTTGAGCACAGAAGCGTGGCGATGATATGGAGCTGGATTTTCAGCCGGTGTAAGTAGAGTTACAGCACTTCACAACAGCAAGGCATCTACCACATGATTCTGTGAAAATCAGTAGAGAAATTACTATTAAAAGAAATACTAGTAAAGGACTACGTACGGTCAAGGCATGCTTGAATCCCAAAAGACGGGTCCGTACTCCTAAAATACTGCACCGTAATGATTCAATTTTGCGATCACACCTTAAAGGAAGCGTGTGTATTAAAATACACAGAGTGTTGGTACAGGTAGTAAGCATTTGCAGGATCTGGCCCTTATTCATCATGCAGTGGATGAAGTTTTAAAAAGACGTGGGGCCAGATCCTGAGCTCATGCTGCTCGAAATCCGGAATGGTTTGGTTGAAGTCACTCGGTTGAAAACAGTGAGAAATGCGTATAAAAATGCATAATCAACCTCATTGTTTTTGAAATAGTGAACCCCTGCAGTGAAGGCTCTGTTAGAAATGTCGTATTAGCAAGGGCTTTCCTTCCTTCCGAGCAGAGTTTCTAACATATGTCATTGCCCAGACTGAAGAATCAATTTCGGTGCAGAAGTCTAAATGCCTCCTCCTTATCCAAGCTTTTTTCTAGTGGGGTTTGGTTGGGACGAGAATCGTGGATCTGTTCCTCGTATCAAAAGGCACAAAGAGAAGTGCGTTAAGAACACAGGTGATCGCTGACAGATCGTACCACAATCTATAAATAACAGAGAGCTGGATACATAGATGTAGCCTTTTTGTGGAAAGTCAGGGCTGCTGCTGGGGATAACAGAGCAATCCCTGCAGCGCTCTTCACTCACGAAGATTGAAATAGACTGCTTCTGTTTCCTTCTATAGCATAGGCAAACCGAAGTCTTTGTATAGAAAGGGAAATAGGAAAGATGCAAAACAGTCTACAGTTCCCACTCCTGCCGGTTCCCTTTTTTCCCACTGATTGTGTACACCGGGTTTCATCCTCTCTCATCTCTGACTGTCAGAAGGAAATCAAAGGGACTGCAAAACCTAACTTAAAGGCAACTCGAATGTGGAGGATCTTTCACCGCCTTTTTGACAGCATGCCCAGTATCCCTTGTGATCCAGCTGGCCAACCTGAGAGTTGTATTTTGGCTTTTGCGTGACAGCAGGGGACATGTACTTTAATACCTACACAGATTAGGTGTCTGCGCTTCCTTCCTTCCTACGCAAATCTGAATGTGTTTTTCCCTGTAGTATGAACCCTGAAATTCAGTGTCCTCTGTTTTTTCCCCTTTAGCCAAGAGCATAAGAACTGGCTGCTCACTACAGAAAATGGCCACTCTAAACAGAACAGAAATGATGTTTTAGCATGACAAGACGCAGTGGCTGAAATGAAGGGCTAAAGCAGCACCCAGGCAGTGCCCGGCAATCACAGCCCGGTGATGGGATTTCCTCTGCCTCTCACAAAACAGGAGGTTCTGTGCAGCATGTTTAAATGTACTGGGGGTGCCCCGTCTCACCTCAGACAGCCCAGGGATTTTGCTCCATTTGATCTAGGATTGAGGTTTTTTTTGCAGCCCAGCTCACCTCAAGCCCTGGATAGAAGTGAAGAGCCGAGCTTTTGGACACATGTGACTATTCATGTCAAGTAGGGCAGTCTTCTGCAAGGGGCTGGGAAGAAAAAACAACAGAATCATCTTTTTAAGAGAAGTTCAGTCTTACTTTCGTTGTTAGCTCTCAAAATAGAATTTTTGTTGCTGTTGTGTGCGTGTTTTTTTTAATAAGAAAATTACATTTGTAAAGAGAAGAAAAATGCAATCCCTCCTCTAGAAGGGAAGAATTCCTGAGTTTTGCAGAGGCACACTAATTGTTGCCTCATGTTGCCTGAGAAAAGGTAGCCCTGAGCTTACCTATGAAAGGAGAGACAGGGAGAAAGATCTTTGCAGAGACTCTGAGCAAGAATTAGGCTGATTATTATTCTGTGGCATCTGTCTCTTTCTACCTTAGGAATCTATTGCATAAGCGCCTCACAGCTTTAAAAACAAAAAAATAAGGTCATTCGTCATGGAATGTTTTGCTTCAAAAATACAGGTTGCTAAATTAGCATGGCTTAGATCACCCTTAGGAGGCAGCCTCTTGTCTTAAGGGACCACCCGAAAGTATCGTCAAACGCCGTGAGTATAAATTTTCCTCCCCGTCTTTATCAGAAAACTGCCTTCTCTTCCAGTCCTCAGTACCCTTCATTGAGTATCAGAGAAACGCCACGGGGTTGAATTTAGCACATTAAGTCTAAATGGCCTGAATCTTGCCGTCTTTTTTTCTGGTGAAAGTCTCTCAGTGAAGCTCTGCCTATGGAAGGACTTCAGATCTTGAGCCCGTGCATTATCTGGAAAACTGACTTTGGTTAATACGATTAAATAATAGTTAACATTCAGTTGCTGTTTCTTCCATCGAAAGGCGTAGGTGCAATTTACGAACATTCAGCGTAGCATTCAAGTCTTCTTTTAACCACGTCACCAACACTGGAAGCAGGTGTAGAAGCAGTATTTGTCTGGCACGACTTACAGAAGCTAAGTAGATCCTTTAAATTATTAGTCTCTGTTTGCTCTGCAAGATCGTCTCATCATGCAAAACAAACTCTTAGGACTCTTGGAAGAAATTTGCTAAAATCACGTTTTCCCAGAGGTCTTGGAGCTCATTTGGATTTGCATTAGGCTGAAACCTATTCTATTTTATTTTGTACTAATTTAGGACAGTATTTTTTATCTTATTAAAGAGGCGTGTTTTAAAAGATATTGTTAGAGGCATCTAGTCGGTGGCTGTGGTCTGAGGCTGTTTGCTGTATTTTTGTTTAATTTCAAAAGCTCAATTATGTAACTTTGAAATGAAGATATTGCATATGCAGAGGTGCTGTTTTCCATAATTTCTCTTTTTAACTATGCATTAATGTTCTATTCTATGGATTATCTCCAGGGTAAAGGCATTAGACAAAATCCCACAGATTTCAATGGGTACTAACAATAACTGTAAATATTATGGCTTACTATTAACATATTTTGCTATATTTGCGCATTGCACCAGCACACACAAAGAAAAAAAAAAGGAAAAAAAAAAAGAAAAAAGGGAAAAAAATAAAAGGACAGAGCAACTCTGAATTGCCCATGTACCCCAGATACCCATCCCGTTCACTTTGGGTGCACAAGCAGTGCTACATATGCCCTCTGCTTTCGCTCTTTTGGATTCAGATTTCCCCCAGCCTATTTCAGAGTCTGACTCCCTTGAGCTTTCACACACCAGAAATAGTTGCATTGGGGCTGCCCTGGGTTCTGAAAATCCCTGCTAGCAAGGCACAGTTTCAGCATCAAAAGTTACTTGGAGTAGAGCGCTGTAAGCCGGTTTCAAACGACAGGGGGTTGCATTGGCATAGCTGCACTGGATGCCAAAGCCCTGCTCAGACGAGAATGAAATAAAGATTACAATGGGAGGAGAAAAAGTAGAGTCTCTGCGACTGTGTCCCATTTTAAGATACATCTGTACTGGTTCCATTCACATGGTAATCAGCCTAAGACATTCTTTACGGTACGAACACACCTGCGTCATATCTGCATCAGGGCCTATAAAGTCCCAGGCGAAGGAATATGGAATTAATGATTCATAACAATATTATAAGAGATCACAGATGAGGCAAGAGAAGGAAAAAGTCTCAGCTTAGGAGGAGTTCAGGATGAAATTCTAGGCACAAAATTGCGCTAGTGAAGATGGCATGAGGAATTCCCCCCACGGGGACAGGACTGCAATATGGTGCTATATAACGTCCTGGCCAGAGAAACACACTATCAAAGCCTAAAAATGCTGCTATGGAAAGTCTTACTGGCTGGCTGGGAGCTTGGGGAAGGAGTCTATGTGCAGTACTGACTGTTGTGCTTGGAGATATTTTTATGTCACTCAGCTGTATGCTCTGCTGCAGCCAGGATGCTCTTCTCTGGTGGCAAGGGTACCTTTCTTGCACATGCTTTGTATCGGCCCACTTGGTGTCACTTCC